TTTTTTAATTATGTCTTAACAGTGTATTTAAATAAAAGTTAGTTAAAAAAGGGAAAAAAACGTAAGTAAAACGAAATAAAAGGATTTTAAAGGAAAGGAAAGGCGCCGAAAGACTGTAAGGGGATAAGGGTGGTAATTTTTTCCAATTCTTGCGGGGATCCCTATTATGGGGACGGAGCGGGGAGGAATATTTCTCTCATGAGGTAGGGATGGGGAGCATTTTTTTCGATGAAATTTCATGAAAAATTTTTCCTACCCCACAGGGATCTCGTCTTCACAAAAATTAAAACTAATATAAATTAATTTTATTTTAAATTTAGTTCACCTTTCAAATTCAAATCCAAACTCAAATCTAAACTCAAACTCAAGTTCAAACCCAATTTAATCAAAATTAAACTTAACCCAATTTTACTCAACCCAACCCAACCCATTCCCATACATACATTTAACCCTAACCCTAATTCATTTCTCAATTTTCATTTTCACCTTCTCCAGCTTTCCATCTCCTTCTATTATGAGACTCAACCATCTGAATGCCCTCCATTCCATTGCCACCCTTCTACAATTCTACCTTTACCCTTCTCAGTGCTCACCTTCTGCTGTCCCTTATTTTCTCCTTTGCTCCAGTCGGCCCATCTCAAATCCCATTCCCTCCACTACACTGCTGGTCTACTACTGTCGAAGCCATCTACTTGCTACTGTCTGGACTATCGAAGCTATGCGTGGTTCTATTGCAGCCTTGCCCTTCTTGGTACTAATTTTCTTTATTTTCAAAATACTGATTTTTTTTTATGTTGATTTAATTATTTTATTTATGTTGGATTAATTTTTACTTATGTTTTAGTTTAGCTTGGATTAATCTTTGTTTATGTCTAGAACAAATTTGTTAATTGTTGATATAGTTATTTATTTTGAATTGATTTTTATTTTTATTTAGACAATTTATATTTGATTGTATATTTAAAAATTTTAGTTAATTTTTTTTGAATTTTTAAAATTTTATTCATTATAATTGAATATTAATTAATTATATATAAAAGACAAAAAAATTTATAATTTAATATTAATTAATGAGGAATGAGGATCTCTGCAGGGAATGAACACAAGGGGCAAAATCTACTTTCTATCAAAAATTTTCATGGGGATCTCCGTCCCCACCATTCGCAAGGACGAAGACGGAAAGGGACTTTCTGACTCCGCAAAACCCCATTGACATCCAAAGGGTAGGAAATAATTGATAATAACTTTTTTTAAGATAAAAATAAATTGTAATATGGTTTCTTTGCTAAATGGCTCGACCAGAAACTACAAAAAGTTAAAAGTCTTTAAATATGTCAACCTTAAAATATTAATAATTTAAGTGAAATTGGACCTGTGGCCTTTGGGTTTTGGTCTTGAGCCCTCCTTCACGCGACATCTTTTTTAACATTATATTTTAAATTTTTTATATGAATAGATTAAATATAAATTTAATATAATTAATAATTAATATTAATAATAATAATATTAAACATAAAATATTTAAATTTCTTAGAAAATAAAATTTTAATTTTATAATCATCTTGAAATATTATCAAGTAGTTTAAGCTATTTTTTAATGATGAAATTACTCTTTCAAGAACATCTTTTACTAAGTTATTATGTTTATGTCCTAGTATCACATATTTTAATATTTTTAGTTGTATTATTATTTCATTCATGATACTTGGGTAATTGTTAATACAAAAAAAAAAATGATACTTGGATAATTAGATTAAACTCAACATAATTTCTTCATCTTTTTCTAGAAATTAGGGAGTATGAACTAATGGAAAAAGTTACCAATAGGAAAATTAATTAAGAATAATAAGTATAATATTTTAAAAAATAAAAAATAAAACAAACGGGTCAACCTGTTAACCCGTAGGTTGACCCTAATCCAACCCGTGACTCGTATGGGTTAATAATACGGGTTATCTACGGGTTGCGGATTGAGACATGTAGACCCTAATCCGTTTTTATGAATTGAGTTAGGATTGGGTTGACGGATTGGATGAATTTTTGCCAAGTCTAATAGTTTTTCCTTGCCTATGTTTGTGTATA